GTTAAAGGCCTTCCGAAAGTCCAGGAAGACTATGTCCACTGTATTAGAAGTAAGTACTAGAAGACTACTTACAAATTCTCCCTTAGTCCTCTCTTCTCCAGACTAAGTAATGTTAGTTCTTTCAGCCTTTCCTTGGCCATGCCTACTTGTGTGTGTTACTGTGGAGTAGACTAATTTTGCTGCCGAGTAAAATGTCATTATCTACCCATGTGATCCTATTAGGCCGCAGTAAACTAAGTTGTGGTGATATAAGATAGTATTTTTCCCTGACACTACTATCTTATGGCGGAGTAATTTACTGCGATTAAACACATATGTTGACACTGACCATGGGCTTAAATTGTACCCGGTCAGCTGAGCCAACTGGGGGCCAGCCTCCTGCTGGTGCCTAGCCACGCGGCTCCACATGTGTACAGCATCGTCATGCCCCAGCCAGCTCCGGCAGTGCCCAGTGCCGCCACCTGGAACCTGTGGCAGAGCAGGGCAGAAATGACCCCGGGATAAACTGCTCTGCCCTGGCTCAAATTGCTGCTGTCCCATGCGCATGTGTAGATGCTGTGCCTGGGAATAATTTACTCTGGCTCAAACCACTCTAGAATTTATTGCTTTGCATTAATTGCATGTGTAGTTATACTCCCTGTAGTCCTAATCTCCAGAGTGTCTGCAACTCTACCTCATTTGGTGTTATTCCCAAATTCGCTAAGTACTCACTCAGTCCCATTGTTCAGATCATTAATGAAGATGTTAAACAGTACTAAACCCAGGCCAGACACTCTTAATACTTCCTCTTACCTAGATATTGAGCCCAGTGACTATGGGTAATGTGCCTGCTATATAAAACTGCTGCTCCGAAAGTTGCTTTATTACCCCCAGAGTGACTTTGCTGGTAAGCTGCAGGTTCATAGGATCATTGGAAAGTAGGCCTGAAAGGGACCTCACAAAGTCATCTAGTCCAGCCGGCTGCTCAAGGCAGTATTGCCCCTGGCTAAACCGTCCCAGCCAAATGTCTGTCCAAGCTGCTTTTGAAAATTTCCTAGGATAGAGATTCCACAATTTCTCTAGGTAGCCTCTTGCAGTATTGACCATCCTCACAGTCAGAAAGTTCCTTCTAATCTCCAGCCTGAATTTCTTCTGCCACATCTTGAGTCCATTGCTCCTAGTCCTGTTCCCTACAGTCGCAGAGAAAAATTTACCTCCATACCCCCTCTAGGTATTTGAAGATTGTTATCAAATCCCCACTCTGTTTTCTCTCCAAATTAAATCACTCTAGTTCTTTCTTCCTTTCCTCATAAGTCATGTTTTCAATGATTCTAATAATTTTTGTTGCTCTCGTCTTGACTCTTTCCAATCTATCCTCGGATTGGAAGTGTGGGACCCAACACTGGACACACTACTCCAGGCGAGGCCTCCCCAGTGCTGACTAGAGTGGAAGAATCACTTCCCTTGATTTGCAAGTGACACAGGTTATAGAACAACTTGGAAGTCTGGAGCCTTTTGTTGTTAACTTTACATCAGGGACCATGTCTATCTTTATAAAGTATTTAGACCAACAGGGCTCTGTTTCTGATTACAGCCTCTCAGCATTAGTACCAATTAAATATTTAATGCATGAATTTGTCCAGTTAGGATGCAAAAGGGAATTTGCCTCATTGGGAGAAACATAGGTCCCCTGTTTTCCTGCCTGTGGATCTTTCAGGACAATGGGTGACATGGGAATTTCCAAGGTTTCTTTGGTTCAGAGACACGTCCCGGAAATTGTGCCAGAGCAAGTAGGACTGATGTGGTCTTGGGGTTGAGGTTGCCAGTCAGCTGCTTAGTGGTTGCTGCCATGGGACTGAATCAGAATGTCAACAGGCACCCGGGGAATCCCAGACAGGGGAACTGGGGTAGTCTGGGGCTTTAGGACCCTCATCTTGCATGCCCTGAGAATGGGGATTCCTGCGGTGTGCAGGATTGGGCCCCTGAAGCCCCAGGAAGGGTATAACTGGTATAACTGGAGAGTGCAGGCAGCTTCTGGCTAACTGTGCTCTCCCGCCATAAACTTAACAGGCGTCTGCCACAATAAAGCAGCACAAAGTGATCCCACCTGTGTCATGGCCACAAATTTGGCCATTTATGGCACGGCCAGGGGCATGGACATCTGCTCGGTCTTTGTGTCGCCATAAAGATTTCATGGTGGCACAAAGGTGATGTCTATTCCACCCGTGCTTTCAGAGCTGGCTGCTGCTGCTACCTGGCAGGCCGTTGTCGATTTCATTCTCACCCCTTGCCAGGAGCCTTTCTTTCAGTTTTCCTGCAGATAATTTAGATTTTTGTGAAAAGGGCATTTTCTGTCAGAAACTCATTCTGACAAGTTTTCCAAACAGCTGTGTTTAACATTTCCCTCTCAGTTTCTCCAGCTGTAAAACTGAATGCAATAATTCTTAGCCACCCTTATAAAATGCCCACCGTTAATGGATGAAAATGCTGCTGATTAAGTTTATTTTCCTTTGAAAGATTCTGTCGATTTTCACAGAGATTCCCTGTACTAAAAATGGAGAAAACTTGTGGAGCCAGTAATAGCTCTCATATTGGGAGAGCTTTTAAATTACAATCGCTGAATACATGCTAATTATATTATTACTTTTTCTTACATACGATTGTAAGTATTCACATATGCCATGTATACAGTGTACAAAAGATCCCTTTACTCAGCTGTAGTTTGTCCTCAGCGTGGGATTTTTTTAGATCTTTTTCCCCCTCCAAAACCTGTTGAATTATGTTATTTTGATTCTTGCTTAGATGCATTAAGCATCCATTTAAATTAGTTCCTAGGCTGTATTGACAAATACATATCTTATTTTTGGCAACTGGGTACATTTCTGTTTGTTGATCATGAAAGCAAGACTGATAATGCTGATTTGAGTCGGTCAGGAACCGCCTATGTTTCTCTGCAGTATTTTTACCAGTCTGTCACTGAACTGACCCACAGAGTTGGACCAGAATGTTGGCAAAAGCTTGTGTTTCTTTACAGACTGTACCATATGAATGGGTAATGTTGCAGTGTGAATAAATATTTATTTAGGAGTAAATGTGACCATTTGAGATCATGTCATTTGTGATTTAATCCGCACTTGAGCCCAGGTCTCTAAAGAAGTGTTTATTCTTTAAGTTAACATTTTGCCAAGTTTTATAAAGTGTATATATATTTATTTAAAATAATGTTCTAAAAGATATGGTAAAATACTGTGCATTTTGATTTTGTGTGTGGTGTTAGGCTTACGGAATTTGAAGATACCCCAACAAGTCAGCTCACGATAGATGAATTTATGAAGATTGATTTGGAAGGGGAATGTGATCCTCCTTCGTTTACAGCTGGTCAAAGAAAACTAAAGATGCAGCAGGTGAAGTCTGATCTCTCTTTGGTATTTGGATCTCTGCAGTTCAGTTTTTCTCCTCCCCTCCACTTGAACTGAATAGAGTTAGTCCATGGCTGTCCAGCTGTACCTTTTTCTACTAGGAGCTTCTCATAGGGAGGGTGGGAGTAACAGCTATGGTGCCCTGGCCAAAAATGATTTTATTCTTTACTACCTAGAGACAGTCACATCCAAAGTGTAGTGAGGTTGTATCCACAAGGTTTTCACTGACTCTTGTCAAACAGGGAGACTCATGCAGGTATCTGTTAACAGTAACTTTGGTGACCATGGGTGAAGGACCAAACCAGGTCCAGTTTTAGTCTCTCTAGGAACTGGGGGGAGAGCCAGTGTGGTTGGGGGTTAAGAAGGATGGCACCAGCTGTTTGTGCTTTGCAAGAATATTTATTTTCTGCGGATGAGGGCTGAGGACCTCACACTTAATTTTCACCCCTATTTTAGAAACAGTACAAGTACGTGGATGGCAGTTTCTTATGCTGAACGTGGCACTGACAACTGCTTTTCTTGCATAATTGTTGCCTGCTTCCCTGCTGGGCATTTGTCTCTCTTTTACCGTGCCTTCTTCCTTTCATTGCAATGTCAAGTATCTTCTTCCTTACAAAACCGGGGCCTCTCCTGGCAAGCTAGGCTGAACTTGTTGCGTGTTAACCAGAAGTAGTTGCTTGATATTCTTATTTGTTTTGTATAAGATACATTTACTTTTCCGTTTCACTTGAGAAAAAAAAAAAGGTCGAGGCTGGAAAGGTGTTTGATCATCACTTGTATCGAAGATCTTGCAAGTTTTGTTCTTGTAGGAGACATGATATTGGCCATATCTACATGAGAGGCTTCTACGCTGTGGTTACTGTGCATTTATTTAGTACATGTATGGACAAGTACTAAATTAATGTGCAGTAACTTGAGTACTGCACAGTAGTGCCAGTGAACACCTTTTTTTGTGACACTGCTGTGCAGTAGCCTAATACAACTACGCGGTAGCGTTGCATCACTGTTTTTGTCACACGATGCTACTGTTCAGTAGTATTGGGCTATTGCACAGTCAGCATCTCATGTAGACGTGCCCATTGCCTAGAATTTTGTGAGCAACATTCAAAAAAAAATATTAGTGTTAAATCAGGCCGTATAATATTTTTCTGTTATACTACATACAGTACTTGAAAGACTGGTGGCTTGATTCCTTTACAAATCACTGGCTGAACAGCGATATGAAGAGCAAAATATTCTGTAGCAATCATAAATTTGGTTTTAAATGCCGAGTCATTGAAAATGAAAATTCTGTGATATTATAAATGTTAAGATGTCATCTTGGGAATATCTCAGGAGCCCATTGTGGGCCATTTTTTTTCAACATTGGTCTCTATCTATGAATCTTGCCTATGTATAAGTGGGGTAGCCCTTTTCCTGTTCTAAGTCCTGCACACACAGGTGATAGAGTCTAACTCTTATATTCTGATTATATTGGGAGACTCTGGAGTACAGTTAAGGTTGGTTGTTGAAACCTAGTGCTCAAGATTGGAATTTGTTTTCTTTTTTTCTATTTAGGGTTTTCAAGTGTGATGTTAGACACCTTTGATATATGAGTGAGAGAAACTTTTATAATCTGAACCCTACATCAGTGGTTTGATTTTCCCCAAAGTTTCAGAGTATACCTGTTTACTCTCTGTGGGTGTTCAATACCTTGGAGAATCAGCTGAAACTGTGTGCTCCATATCAAATACTCAAGACAGGCTACAGCACACTTTTTATCTTGATAATTTGTATTAAACAGGGAAGGGCGAACCAAATTCTGCTTACATACGTAACTGCATATGATGAAGTTACTTCAGCTTTATGCTGATCTGACTCAGTTGAAATGAGGACTTGCTTCTTCTTCCTACCACACGTCTGGTCATATGCTGAATTTGTGTCACTTTCCTGCCGGAGTGAAATTAATACAATTACATAAAATTACAAATGCAGACTTACTATTTTTCTGCAGAAGCAGCTCGTCTAAAACTACTGTATTTAGTAGTAATCGTTTGTAAAAATACTGTTTAAATGAAACTTAGCAGTATTGTGGACCATTGCTTCAGACTACTAGAGCGTACTGCAGTATTTTTCATACAGGGAAATTGCAGCTGGGTTCTGAGGGAGAGATTCCCTGTTCAAACATGGACATCTGCAATACTAGTCTAAATCGTCTTGAAATGATGGTTAACGTTGCGTTGTTGCTCCTGAGCTGGATTTTTTGGTCCACAAAGTTCACTCTGTGCTGCTGGTAGCTGGAGATACCCGTAGGAGACTTCCCACTGTCTTGGAGAAGCTTCCCTACCAGGGCAGCTAGCTGAGTTCCTCTGCCCACATGATAGCATGAACTCCATGGTGGACATACGGGCATTGGATATTGAAGTAGTCTCCCAGCATCTCAGACTTTTGCAAAGGCTATATGGCTGACATCTGATGAAGTGCACCTGGGTTCACAAAAGCTTGTGCTCTCTCTATATATTAAGGAGAATAGTCGGGGAAGCACTGAGGTCCTGGAGGGGAGGGGAGCCAGGTGTCCAAGAAGAGTGGTTGCTCCTTAAGGAAACGATCCTCCAAGCCCAAAGGGAAGTAATCCCAACATGGATCAAAGGGAGCAGGAGGGCACAAAAGC